TAATATATTTCTAACAACTGCTTGTTTTCAGAATAATAAGATAAAACGGACATATTTATTTTTTAAAAATCATATAATAGGTTTAATAAATAAGTCATGCAACAAATATATTGTATATCCTAGTTCAGCTTGAAGGTATTAAAGACAAATCATTATAATTGTCAGAAAAAGTTTGGTTTGGTTGTTGAACTTCGCGCAAAGCTACTCGTTAGTCCCTAATTTTTAAGTGATAAGAGGGAAGGGAGCTGATTAACGTCACCCACCGCCAACTCTTGGACTACTCTTTACTATAGTGTTATTGACTAACACTATAACGCCCCACTAATTGCGAGTCGAGTGCCGTAACCACCAGACCATGCTAGGCCTGAAAGTATCTTTTTTTTTCTTTCTGTACACACACACACACACACACGTAGATCGTATAAAGATGGCATTCACACTCATGCAATCCTGTGTGATGATTTAGTTTCCATATCATATAAAAAAACAATCTTTCATAAACGACTCTTGTTGTAATCTTGTTAAAGTTTGTATTTCAAAACTGTGAATCAATCCTGAAAGGTTTGTTTCTGACTAGACAACAAGCGTCAACAAAAACAATACATTAGCTGCTGTTCCCCCGTATGTAGCTAACACTAACATCTCTGTACGTAGCTAACACTAACATCTCTGTACGTAGCTAACACTAACATCTCTGTACGTAGCTAACACTAACATCTCTGTACGTAGCTAACACTAACATCTCTGTATGTAGCTAACACTAACATCTCTGTATGTAGCTAACACTAACATCTCTGTATGTAGCTAACACTAACATCTCTGTATGTAGCTAACACTAACATCTCTGTATGTAGCTAACACTAACATCTCTGTACGTAGCTAACACTAACATCTCTGTATGTAGCTAACACTAACATCTCTGTACGTAGCTAACACTAACATCTCTGTATGTAACTAACACTAACATCTCTGTATGTAGCTAACACTAACATCTCTGTATGTAACTAACACTAACATCTCTGTATGTAGCTAACACTAACATCTGTGTATGTAGCTAACACTAACATCTCTGTGTGTAGCTAACATATCTCAAAACAAATTACTGCTATTAAAACTGTTTTTAAACATAAATTCTAATTTTATCAACGTGGCTAACTGTTCATAAACATAGATTGTCCTAGCATCAGATAAATGTTTCATATCGGTATAGGACAGCGAGTACACAGTAATTACTTTTTCCAATGATGATGTCATGTGAGTCAAAAATACGTGTTATTAACGGCAGTCTACGAGTTTCGTATTTTTCGGAATACATAACGCACCGGTGTATATGACGCACCCTTATTTTGAAGACAAAGTTTT